TTTAAGGGTTTGAGTTTGTTTTCTTTTCGTTTTTGTGTAAATAGTAGCTAGTGAGTAATAGTGCCTCAAGCAAAGCTTCACTTGAGCCTAACACATTTGCCTTTGATCTTATGGTCAAAAATAAATTGGTGTGTATAGGATGGTGATAGTTGTGACCTTGAGACTCTTGTGTTGGCTAATAATCATCAACTGGTTTTTTGGGACCATTTCATTGCTCAAATCTTAGCTAAGGTTGTTGTGGGCCCCCGACTCTGTCTCAGTAGCAATCCTATAACTTGTGTGGTGAGAATTTGAATTGCAAGTCCAAGTCCCGTGCCATTGAGTCTAGAACTTGCCCTGAATGTTTGTCTAGGCAAAATCCTAAGTGTAGTTTGACTTGAGAAGTGATTATAGGCTCTCCTTGATCCAAATGGTATCTTGAAAACATCCATAGCCTACTAATAATAATATCTCTAGTAAACCCTTTTGAGCCACAGCCTTTTTTCTTTCAAAGACCATGATACGAACCTTTACCCATTCTAAAAAGACCCTCGCTTGGCACCCGATCTTTCCTTAGTACAAGGCAAAAGCATAAGTTTGGGGAGAGAGACAAGGAATGCAAAAAGTGGTAAAAGATACAAAAGGAAAGGCAAAAAGAAAAAGAAAGAAAATCAAAAAGTCAAAAAGAATGAATAATGTAGAAGAAGTAAAGGTAGTCAATAAAAGTAAAAAGATGAAAGGCGTGGAAAGATTAGAAAGGAGAAAAAGTTTGAAATGAACAAGAAAGAGTGACGGTGTGCCTATCTAACCCCTAAAAAGAAGTAAATGACTCAAAGAGTCAAGAGAATGTGTGCCAAAATGAAGCAAATGAAGTGCTTAAGGGAAGATGAAACCTACTTAGACCAAATATTTCCTACCCTGAACCAAAAACCTTCATTGTATCCCCACAAAATCCCTATATGATCTTGAGTTGAGTGAAGCTTACATTAGTGGTGACTCACATAAGGGGCAAGCTTATGGTACTTAGAGCCGGACTTGTGACCTTTCTTTGAGAGAGATGAGTGTGTTTTCCACAATCCTCATTCTGAGTGCTACAATCTAAAAGTGAAGTTTTGCTTAAGGAAGAGTGAGGAGTATGAGTTTGGGTTCCACAATGACCAAAGTAGTAGAAAGAGTTTCCTTGATGAGTTGAGTCAACTCTTGATGCTTTTGTGTCGCACTAAAATCAAGGTGCTTAAAAGTTTGAATGTTTGTTAATGATCAATTTGAATTTAGGGCAATTGTTAGTCCCAATTGACGCTAGATGAGGTCATTTTAGGTCAGCTGAATTTTCTTGGTTTTATTCTTAAGGAGGTGGGACTTACTTTATTTGCTTGAGGACAAGCAAGAGCTTAAGTTTGGGGGAGTTGATAACTAGGGATTATAGTATATTTTATACTCCTTTTTGCTTGAGTTTTGGATTAAAAATGTTTACAAGTAATCCCGAAAGCTTACATGTTGTGCTTGTTTGCAGTGTTTGGTCAAAAAAGTGACAAAGAAGTCAAAATCAGCTCAAAAAGGAGTGAAACCTGCACAAGTGCCAAGAACAAATCAAAGCACCGCGATAGCAGTAAATCCACCGCGGCTGCAATGGATCCACCGCGACTGCAGTGCATTTGTTGCGGTCCGCGGTGGCAAAGATCAGAGAGGATGCTATTTTGGAAGTTCAAGCAATGTGATCCGCGGTTGATTATTCGCGGTCGCAATAGACTCATCACGGCCACATTCCATTTGTTGCAGTCCGTGGAGAAGGGATTCATAGAATGTGAAATTTGGGAGATTCAAGACACTGCGGTCCGTGGTCCATTTGTTGTGGTCCGCGGTGAAGCCACCCCGGTTGCAGCCCATTTTCTGCGGACCGCGGTGGCCAGATTCAGAGACTTAGACGTGAAGCCAAAAAGCCTCACTGCGGCCGCGGTGCATTTTTCGCGATCCGCGGTACCTCCGTCAGGGGTATTTTCGTCCAGAAAATTCGGCCTTGTATAAATTCTTCTTTTCAGATTTTTAGGGTATCTTATCGGTATCTAACCACGTGAACGGCGTTTTTAGCTATTTTGAGCAATTGTGTAGCTAGTTTAACATTGAATCTTCAAATCTTAGCTTGTAATTATATTTTACGGGTTAGTCTTCATCTAAATATCTGATTTCTTCCATTATAATGAGTAGCTAGACCCATTAGCTAGAGTTGTGGCTCAATCCTAGTGTGGGTATTTGATGGGTCTCTTATTTTAAGGCTTAGATGTTCATGGGTGGTTGATATTTGGCCTGATTTGTATTTTTCTTATTGAATTAGTTGTTGCAAATACTAATTTGTGTCTTTTTGACTTGGGCTCTTCTTGAGAAAGAGAGTTTGAGTCTAGGAAAATCAGGTCAATAAGAAATTTGGGCGTATTCAAGAGATTGATAGCCCCAATTAAAGGGTTAAACATAAAGATAGTAATACCCGACTTGAGCCTATATTGCTTGCACAAAAATGACACCCAATTGGTCTTGAGAAAGTCAATTAGGGCAAAGTCACTCAAGCTACCGAGAGGTATAGAATGAGTAGTGTCGTGCATTGGCTATATCGCGACCCCAAACATACAACTTCGCATTAGGCTTTAGAACCCGTCAAGTATTCACCTAGGGGAAAGTCACTTCCCTAGTGCCTCGTTAATCATTTAGAAAACCTTACAAGCATTCATACTTAGCTTAATTTCGCATATCATTAGCATAAAATTAGAAGTAACAAACAAACAAATATGATTGGAAGTGTAATCAAGAGTATTATGCACTGCTAGATTAGATAGAAATCCAACTCCAAACATTGTTGTAGCTCCCTGTGGATTCGATCCCGACCTTCTCGGTAAAAGTTGCTTCGACTGCTCTCGCCACTCTGTAGTGGTGTAAGGTTGGACCCGATCAATTAGCGACCAGCTTTTGTCGCAAAAGTATACCAACGACGAAATGCATTATGAATTTAGTGACACAATTTCCTAATATAGCGACGAAAATTCTGCCGCTAATTGTAGCAACGGATAGTGTTCGTCTCTAGAACGTCGCTAATATTGCGACGGATTCCATTTTTCCGTTGTGAAGAGCTTAGCCACGAGCGAATCAGCAACAGATGGTAATCCATCGCTAATCATGCTTAGCGACAGAAAAAGGCTCTTTAGCGACGAATTTCTTCCGTCGTTAAATGCTTTTTTTGGGTAGTGCGCCGAGGAATATATTCACGATAAATAACAATAACACAGGAGAGTAATAACGATACCAAATCTTTTAACGGGGTAAAATACAATACTCGAGCAGAGTAATATAATTTCACTATAATATTACAATTTGATTACAGGAGATATTAGCCATGTCTTCTCCATATCTGACAACATAACTCGAAAATCACGCTTCTCTGGGATTGCAAAGAAGGTTTTGACTTTGTTTACGTTCCTGGAAATGATAGCTAAATACAAGATATTGTCGCTAGAATAAATATTCAGATAGCAGGCAATGAACATACTGGTTAATTAAGCTCGACAAAGCCTTGCAAATCCAGCAGACATGGCGGAAGGAAAGCCGCAACCTTTGTAACTATAAGAAAAATTATATGGGACTACATTATAGTTTACTTGGTCAAACCCCAAGCATTTTTAACTGGTGTAATAAAAAGCAATAAGTTAGGATAGAATAAGAGTCTGTTTGGATTAACTGATTTGAAGTAGCTGATAAGCATGAGTTGTTGAAAAGTACTTTTAAGTGTTGAAACTGATTTAATAAATAAGCAATTACTATACAAGTGCTAAAATTGATAATAAGTTATTGCAGTATTTGTTTAAAAAGTACTTATAAGCTCTTTTCTGTTAAAATGACTTAAATAACATTAGAACTGTTTACGCTTACAAGGGCGTAATTTCTTCAAAATTTTAGATTCTAGATCGATTCAAATACAAAATATTCTATTTGTCATTTTATTTTAAATACAATTGTGCTAGATAAGATGATTTTTATGATAAATATAATTTATTTTATGATAAGCATATAATCATAAGTTATAATAATTAATAAATTGACATAAGTTTTTCAGTAAAAATTAAACCTAAATAGGGCAAAATATTTAAAGAGAAACAAACACTATCTTCATCACCACAACACTTAGAAAGCAATACACTAAAAATTTGATATGTCCTTATTTATTACATACAGTTGAAAGATTAATTCACAATCACATAGATACAAATATGCAAAGGAATAGAGAATTTGCTTATCTTAAATAGTCAATGAGAATTGCAAACTTGAAGAGGCACGGGGGAGGGGGGAGGTTAGGTTGAAAGATTACTTGAGGCAGTGAGTATCGATGTAGGAGCTTTGTTCTAAAAAGGAATATTTTAAGAATAAAGTAAAAATCTTGGTCAAACTTAAAGTGCTTATAAGCTAAAAATTAATAAGTTGGGGTGACCAGCTTATGGGTTTTGGCTTATCTTTGATTTATAAGCACTTGGCTTATAAGCACTTTTAACTTTACCAAATGCGTAGATAAGCCGAAAAGTGTTTATAAGCCAGTTTGACCAGCTTGTAAGCTTAGTCAAACACCCTCTAACTTATATATTTTAGCTTATTTTTTATTATTTCAGCTTAAAGGCATTTGGCTTAATTAAAAAACACTGTTTTGATATATCTTCTAAATACGGAAATAAGCTATAAAAGTGCTTTTAAGTCAACCCAAATACCTTCTAAATAGCGTCTACCTTCTTTATATTTTGTACGGAGTGGTTTTCAAAAAGAAGACAAATAGACGCGTCATCTACTATTTAGATCTTGCAGGAACTGTCGCTGTATGTTTGACTATGAGAACGGGAAAGGGATAGGACCATGTATGCAAAGTAAAGGACGGGAAGAGAAAGAAGAAGATTAACGAAAATTATAAATCTGATTTAGAAATCAAGCTATATTCCTTTTATCCTATACTTTTTCGTTTCTTTTATTCTTTTAATTAATTCAACTTAACATCGCCAGTAACACCAATAATAATTATTAAGAGGAATGTTCAAAACTTAGCCAAATATTTACTACAATAGATAAAATTAACCCAAATAGTCGTCCACCTAATTTCTTAAACTAAAAATAGTCAGTGGACGTATAATATTGTATAACGGTGTATAATCTATGTATACCGGCTAAAAAAGTAAACATTGAATCTAGCCGGCTATTTGTAGACAGAAATTACACAACATTGTGGAGTTATTTCCGTGAGATAGCTCTCTTGGCAGACTCGAGGGTGGATGCCACAGACGCAGCAGCATTAGCTAATACACCACCGCTAGTGTTTGAGATAGGGGTGCTAATATGTGGCTGGTGAATTACTTCCACAGGCCTTTGTTCTTGCATTTGCCCCACCGATGATTGGTAATCCAGAGTCTCCACCCTTCTTTCCGTTTGGTTTTGTGCTTTCACATCCTGTCATTAAAGATCGTCAAATAGGAATTGTGAAACGAAATATTAATCCAGAATTTCCATTTTCTGCACTGACAAGACAAGAAAGAGTGATTTGGTCCTTCAAAACATACCTTATTGGCTGATGAATTCATATTGCAGCTCTCGCAGATTTCTTATTCAGGATAAATGGTATTAGTTAATATTCCAAATCGTAAATCTGGATTTATAAGATAGCAATGATTTTTAAGTATAATACCAAGTGACGTCCTAACTATATGCGAACTGGTGGCTAGCCTGGATTGGAAGCGAACGCTTCGTTTCAATTGCGGACAGATTTTTTTCAGTTCTATTCTATTTTTTGGTAATAAATTACTGTCACTTTTTTTTTTGTGGTACTAAAAGATTATATTAATCACCAATGCAACATTACAAATCCACAACAGACTTTAACACATGTATCTATTTATCCAAACCTGTACAAGAAACACAAAAATTATATTATATGTCACTTTTGTTTTGTGGGGTAAGGCTTCAAAGTCCCGAATACAAACAAAAGTATACTACTTCATCAACTTCAACTCTCAATTCCATTCATGCACTTTTTGTGTTTAAGATTCATGGCTTAATTAATTTGCCAAGAAGGGCTCCACCATGTTATCATTGTATTGCAACACAAGCGAACATATTATGCGCACACATAATTAGATCTTCAACACGTGTTGGTTTCATTATGTTTCCTAGGCCAAGTATATGTTTGTGAAGAAGAGAGGCAATAAGATTTTCATTAAATTGCAGATACTATCTCAACTAAAAGTTCAAGCATTTAGCTAATAACACATTTATTTAATTTATTAGGTCTTCAGAATAGCAGAATTCCAACTCGTGCTAATAAAACAAATAAGCTAGAGGAATTTACTGTCCACACTATGAAAATAAGCTAAGGCCACAGGGCCGAAAAATGAAAATTAATAGGCAAAAAGATCAATTCGATTCTAATTAAGGATTTTACTGTCCACACTAAGTTGTATGAAAGAGCTTATCAATCAATTCTTCACCTCGTGTTCAGTTTCAAGAAAAATTACAGAATCAAACCCAAAATCAACTTTAGTGTCGATTAACCCACAGCAGTCATCATAAGCAAAATAATCCAAGGTCTTGCATTACGACACAACAATTACAAAGCAACCAGTACAGTTGCAATTTGCAAATACTTGCTATAGGACAGAGATGATGATCAGGGAATGTTGTACAATCAAGCCAAACAGATAAACCAGATGTGCTCTGATATACTCTAATATCTGTACTAGTAAAATTCCTCGAACTGTATTGCTTGGAAACGAAGTATGCTTTGAGAACATATAACTAGAGTAACAAAGACGGTGGCAGGAATTATTCGACAACCCAGATAGAACAAGTCATTTATCCAGGAGACAAGAGATCGGTCAATAAGTCACAAGTGATCCACTGGAATGGACATCAGAAGCATCAGACATCCTTTGCTTGGGAGACAAAGTGTTGCTGGCAGCAATGTCAACGTCAATATTGACAATGTTTTTTCTCTTTTGAGTGTCTACCTTCAGCCTTTCTTCTGCCTCTTCTGATGTGCAACTCAACGTCTCTACTTGCTGGTGTTGCTCAGAAATCATAGCTTCAGCGTCTGTGACAAGTGATGCATCATCATCCATAGCATACAGAATCCTCTTCACTGCTTCAACCACCTATAAATGTGATATAACCAAAAATCAATATGCTTAGGTTGCTGCTATAAAAATATTTACTAATTTTTCAGATAAGAGAATAGAAAGATTGGTACGGGGAGGTTTTCAATCTCTGGACACTGGCACAGGATCTCGATATCCCTCAGCTTTGCAAAGTAGAAGTCCCTTTCCTTTTCAAGACTATCCACTGATAACTTCAATTCCGTAATCTGCATTGAATTTAGTAATTAGCCTTCAGTCATTCAAACAAAACCATCTCTGATCTTTTAGTACTACCTGTTGTTCATGTGCAGCACGATCTGTTTCAGAATAGGTTGATGCTCCTCCACTCGAAGAAGGTCTGGACACCTTGCCAGATTGATTTGTGCTGCTTACATGAGGTACATCATTTCTTCTAGCACTATGAGGGGCATGCTTTGGAGCGGTTGAGGCATTTTTGGCAGCAGTATGTGAAGTAGCAGATCTTTTGTTCACTTCTTTTGCACCCTTGCAAGCTTCCCTTCTCTCAAGAGGATTGTAGCTGGCATTGATATAAAGAAACAACAGCTCTCCATTAGGCAAATTTCTATGTCATTTTGGTAGTTGAAAATAAAGGTATAACCTCAAGTAACACATGCTTCCTTACAACTTAAGTCGGTAAAAGATGGCATCCTTAAGGTAGGCCAACATAAAGATAGACAACTTCCAAAAGTATATGATTCAATAATCCTAAACACATTGCAGGCAGATCCCATAATACGAAAGGTCATACAGTTATTTTACACAAGTAGCATCACAAGACTACCTTGCAGTTGATACAGTAAATCAACCAACTATGAACTATTCTTCAATTCAAAACTAGTTGGGGTTAGTTCACCGAATCCTCTATATCTATTCTGCCTTATTTGAGTACATTTTCAAAACCACTCGCCCATTTAAAACTATGCCTGAGTGGTGGTGTAACACATGGGAGCAGAACCCGACACATTTTATCATAAAGATTCATTATAATTTAACTATTCTTATCCTAGGTGTCAACATAACATAACCTTTCACTTTTATTCGGACTTGGCACGCACCATGGTTTGCAACCAGGGGTGAGATTGAAATTCTTGTATATGTCAAGTTAAAATCCGTGAATACTATACTATAACTCAGTCTCCAGCATAAATGTGGCCAAGGTCTGTGCGAAATAACAACAAAGTGAAATGAAGATAAAGAAAAAACAGACAATTAATTGAGAACTTCTGACTTTTAAGAGTTGAATATGGAGATTCTGGCTTCTTGTGGGAACTAGTAAAGATTCCATAGAAACAAGAATGATGGACGTGGTTAATTATAAAGATTAAAAACAATTCAGAACACTGCTGCTACAATATCTCCCAGCAACACCACGAGTAGATACTAACCAGTCCAAACTGTATATTCTTTCGTTGTAGAATTGGGGTGTCAATTCTGATCCATAGAAGATTAGAAGATGCCTAACCCTTTTGAACACTAACTGGTTCGAAGAGTGATAAAATCACTTGAGTTATGATGGATGTAGCCTAAATCCACCAATCCAAAAGATTGGGTCAGTTTGGACAACATTACTACTAGCAAAATCAGCACATTAGAGTGCTTTATCAAAATAAAATAGAAAAAATTGAAAACAAAAGAGTGAAAGATATAGCCCTAGTCAGCGGGTTAAAGCTTCTACACGGTAATTAACGATTCCAATGCAAAGCTGGAAACTGAGAAATTTGAAAAAACAGAACAAATCAAGACAAAAAACACCTGAACTTTGAGTATACGACCTGCAACACATTTCATTTTAACCCAAGCAAATATTGGAAGTTTGTTTCGTAAACTTTTCGTGGTTTCGACTCATTTTCACTCTACAAATTTGACCCAATTTACCTACTCAATACTCCTAGGAATTATATTCAACTCTCTTTGCTTAACATTTTCTTCCTTATGTCTCATTCAATGCACAATATTTGTGCCCTAACTTCCAGTTTTCCCCTTTTTCCATTATAACAGGAAATCCATGTCTCAGCACAAACATACACAGACCATAGGTAAAGGTTGCTAAAAGAATTAAATCAAATGCAAAGCACAAACAGAGGTTGAAAATGTTACTTGTGCGAATTGCCTCGATTAACAGAATCGCAGTATCTCTTCAACCATTGCATGAACTCCAGGTTGTCAAGAGGTCTTCCTTTCACTAGTTTGTTGACCTCAATGTGCTAATATCACAAACACATAATTAAACATCAATAGACTATTATAAAAATAGTAATATGGAAACTGATATTCAAAAGAGGTAAATGAGGATAAAACTGAATCTGGGAAAAGGAAACTCTAAAATAAAATAAACCTTGGTAATTTTAAGTTTGTTGAATACTTCTTGAAGAACCTTATAGTTCTGGATCATCTCATATTCATTCTTAGCGTCGAAATTGACCTTGTGCATAGGGACTAGCCCTGGGTGAGCGGCATCCATCAGCTGGCAATGAACCGCACCACCACACGCCTGTGCGCGAATTGACAGTGTATCAATTTGAAAAAAGTGAATTGGGAACTTCAACAACTAATGAAGGAGAGCAGGAAAAAGGAGAGATTGAATACCTCTTCGACTTTGGAAAGATTAAGGTGAAGTGTGGAATTGATCCAGGATAGGATCTCCGATCTGCCGACGAAGTATGCCGCATCCATCATTCCTATGTGTGCCGCCATTTCTGATTCAACTTTCTCTGTAGAAGGCTCCTTAGAGAGAGAAATAGAGAGAGTTTGAAATGAGGGTTTGGGCGGGATTTCTTGCCCTTCTATAGATTTCAATTGAAATTGGTCGGTGACATGTGGTTTCGGATCGTCACCAAATGGGCCTAATTCAGGGAGGCCCAAATTTGATGACCCAAGTACACGCTTTCCTTTTAGGAATTTTTACGGGAGAAATTCAAAAATAGCCAGATTTACAACTGGTTGTTAAAATAGCCCAGTTTTAAAAGTAATCAAAATTTAGCCACTTTTCATATAAAGATAAATCTGAGCGAAAACACTGTTCAAAACTCGAAAAATACGCCAGTATATTATGCTGGAGTTCCAGCATAAGTATACTTGAACTCCAGCATATTATACTGGAGTTCCAGAATAAGTATGTTGGAACTCCAGCATAATATGATGGAGTTCCAGCATAAGTACACTGGAACTCCAGCATAATATACTGGATTTCCAGCAAGTATATCGGTCCAGCATAATATACTAGAGTTTGGAGCACCGGTGCTCCAGTCTCCAGTATATTATACTGGAGCCAGCAAACTATACCGATCCAACATAATATGCTGGAGTCATACATAGGTGCACCGAACTCCAGTATATTATGTTGGACCGGTCTCTATTGCAGCAAAATAGTGGCTATTTTTCATTGACTTGGTAAACGCTGGCTATTTTTGAATAACCAGTCCAAAAATTGGCTATACCGTGCTATTTTACAATTTTTACCTCCTATAGCAAAGGTTAACACCTTATTTATTTTAAATAAATATCATTTTAAAAAATTATATTCTATAGATACCTTTTAATGTTTACAGCAAAATATCTAATTTTGGTTTGCTCATACCCCCTAAGCCACTAAATACGCTATTCAGTTACACTATTTTCTTTCTCTCTTTACTTTGATACATGCCATTCTTTTCCCCCATTACCTGAAAACACGATACTCAATCTCAAAATTCCTCTCACCCACATCACTTACCATTAGTCAAAAACCACACGCTCTCTCCTCTCTCTCTCTAGGGCGACAATCTGATATGCTACAACTGCGCAAACAACTGCCTTTGCAGTTTGGAACTCAAGGACGATGCCTTACTGGATGGCTTGCAAGAAGACATATTTTGATTAGATTCGACAGATATGATGGCTATGTTCTTGCAACGGCTAAATCTGTTGCCTACATATCCTTGAATAGGAAAGAAAATCAATTTAGGTTATTTCCATGGACTATTGGATTTAACCCTAAAGAAGAGACTTCAAGAGCCTTTGTTTGGATCTCGTTTCCGAATATGCCGCCTCTGCTGTTCGCGAAGAAATCACTATTGTCTATAGCCTCAGTAGCAGGTAAGCTCATTGCGATTGATAAGGCCACGCAAGAAAAGTCTAGACCTAGCACAGCTAGGGTTAAGGTTGAACTTGATCTTCAAGGATAGCTGCCGCATACGAGGATTCAATTTGTTGATGATGAAACTGGGAAGGTTATCGAGCATGTCCAGAAATTCAATTTGGGCTGAGCAACTTGGTTTTCTGTTAATATATTTCAATGTATTTTCAATGTACCACGCTATTTTTTCATGTATTTCATTTATTCATTGTCTTTTTTTTCATTGTAATTCAATGTATCTCGTTGTATTTCATATATTTCATTGTATTCACTGTCTTTTTTTCATTGCATTTCAATGTATCCCGATGTATTCTATGTATTTCATTGTATTCACTGTCTCGATATATGCCATGAATATATTCATATATTTTTTTAATTAATATAATTTATGTATTTAGATGTATTATATAATTTCTCTGAAGATTGCTATGTTTTTGGGGTATTTTTCGGTTGAGAATCTTTTTTATAACTGAAAATACAAAATTTGTGTGTTGTAATTGAGTTTGTTGAGTTATATTAGGAGTCGATTATGTTAATTGATTCACTTTCTGTTTAAAACAGTGTAATCCCCTATTTCACGTCGTGAATACAATCGAATACAATAATCTGTCCAGCTGTAATCTCATGTTTCACGCCATGAATACAGTCGAATACACCCAAATACAAAAATTTGTCTAGCTGTAATCCCATGTTTCACGCCTAGAAATGCTATTGTATTCATGAATACAGTAGCTTAAATACATCAAATACATTTTATAGCAACATAAAGGTATCCTCAATCCGTAATATAGCAAATGGTATTTATAAATAGCTAATTACCACTAAAAATAGTACTTTATGAAAATTTCTCCTCCTTTTACCTTGCAAAAAAAGATTTCTTACAGGATCTTTATTATCTTCTTACGAAAATTTAGTTTGTGGATAAGTTAAACCAAATTTTGGAAAGAAAAAGATAAGTTAAACTAATTGGTAATAACGGCTTGCGTGTTCACCATTTTTTACTATCACCAATATCAGATTCTTATTACAAAAAGGGAAAAAACAAATCAAAAGTAGTTACAGTTTGACAGTTTTGTTTCTTTTTTATTTGGTTAATAGATTTTCCAGAAAATAAAAAAGAAATTTCTGTCATAATACTGAATTTTATTGTGAAATATTAAATCATCCTTTTTTTCATATATCCTAAATAGTCAAATAATGACACATCCTAACAAGTGATTATCTGGATAAAAATAAACATAAGTATTTCATATACACTTATCCAAGGGTTCCACGAAATTGGTGACCTGAATCCGAGTTGAGAAGGGGCCTTAAATTTATTTAATAAAGTTTTATATATTTATTTTTTTTTTGATTTTTTTTTTTTT